ATTTTCTTGGGCAAAATGTTCATCTACGCATTCAACAATCATTTAACAAACATCTACTATGTGCTAGAATATGAGGACTGATAAATGAAATGGGTATCCTACACTCAGGAACCTCACAATCCCAATCCTTGATTTTTTCTGAAATGTTTAAAATAATATCAGTTAATTGAGAAGAAATTCTATCTACTTAGGAAGGGGAAAATAAGAAAGTTTATAGGGCATCACCAAAAAGCTGAAAAGGAAAAAGTGGCTGGATTGGTTTTTTTCCCCTTGTTTTGTCAAGTCTGTTTCATATCAACTAATTTTCCCTGAAATGCTTCACCTAACTTCTCAAGTTTTTAGTTTTCCTTCTTTTTTGTCCTTGTTGTATTCTCCTATGTATTAGGTTCAGTTTATTCTTGTTTTTGTTTTCATTTGTCCAGAATATAGCCCAAGATAAAAATACTTATTTTTAGAACAAAGGGTGGCTAACTATTATCAAGCTACACTGAAGAAAGAAAAAAATGAACCAAAAAAATGGACTTTTATAACAATACTAGAATGAACAGTAGCCAAAAGTGGCCATCGTGGCTAAAACAGATAATTTAAGGATGGTTCTTCTTGAAGACAGATAGAAATAGCCATTGGATAATTTTTAAAGAAGCTGTAGGGTCATAATTTTCTGACCAAGTATAAGATGTTACATTTTCTTATGATGAAAGAATAGTTTCTAAAATTCCAAATATTCTATTATAATTCACATTATCACTATTTATATGTAAGTAACTTTTGAGATTTAAATTATCAAAGCCTTTAAAAACCGCTTTGTGTTCAAGACATTAGATGATGCCAATGTTTTGTCTAAATAAACGCTCTAAAAATTCTCCTCTACAGATTAACGTAAAAGAGAGGCTGAAACTCATGAGAACTCAGACTCTATTTTCAACCTTTCAAAAATTCTAAGAGATACTGAATATTCACCTGAGATAAGCTCTACAGGATAGGTTAAAAAAAAATCAAATTTATTTACTTTAACTAGCATGACATCAAGTCACATACCTTGGGTACTGTGATTTTCAGTTAAACATGTTTAAGAAAAAAATTATTTTTTATTTCCATTAATAACACATTTACATGGTTACAAATCAAAACAAGATAAAAGATACACAGTGAGATGTCAACCCTATCATCTATTCCAGTCCACATCTTTGTTCCCTATAGGTAGCCACTTATATTGTTTTCCTGTATATCTTTTTAATGTAATTTTATGCAAATATAAGTATATATTATGATTTATCTCCTTTTTACACAATAGGTAGCATATCATAAACATTGTTCTGCATTTTGTTTATTTCACTTTATAATATATCCTGCAAATCTTATATTCCATTGTGTGGATGTTTCATATTTTATTGAAACAGTCTCCTAATGATTAACACTTGGTGGTTTCCAAGTATTCTATAGAATAAAATCTTCATCTGTAGGATAAATTTCCAGAAGTGTAAAGGCTGTAATTTTGATAACTATTACCACACTGCCCTCTGTAAGGAATATACCATTTTGCACTCCAGCCAACAATGTGTGAGAGGCTCAGTTTTCCCACAGTCTGACTTTTTAAAATTAAAAATAAATTTTAATTTATAACAGTACCTGGCTTGTTAAATATTCAAAATATTGATCTAATGGTGTGAATGGCTTGGTGGGGGTGGGGGGGAAGATGATAAAGCAATCCTTAAATGAAAAAGGGTTGGAATGTTTGGTGTAAAGGAACAGTGACTTGAATATGTTTTACTCACCCGATTCTTAATTTTTTCAGTCAGGAATGGTTTAATCATGGAAAATACAGCATGAAAAATTACTGGCTCATTTATCAAATGGATGCCACGAACTTTCAGTGGAAAGGAATCCTTTTGAAAATAAAGAAAAAGCTCTTTTTCATAGCAAAACATAAATGCGTATTACAATTACATTCCTAATGATAATTCTCTTCTTTGAACACTTGTAAATTTATAGCAGGACCTAAAGTGTGGTTTTATTTTCAAAATTATTTATTCCATTAACGCAAAAAGTCTGGTTTGCAGTTCACTCACTACGTTAAGAAATGATCTCTAAAAAGCTTTCTCCTCATAGCATAGGCAAAGTATGTTAAAAAAAAAAAAATACAGCACGCTTTCACCAGAAAATTCCTCTCCAATCACATATAAATGTCTTTTAAGGCACCAATAAGTAATTTGACATTTATATTTAACTTTTTTCCCAAATTTTTATTTTGAGGAAAAAAATCAAACTTTCTTAAAAATTAAAGGAATAGTACAATAAACATACATTTTAAAACTTTGACAGTTTAAGTCTTTAGCATCAAAGTAATATAGGCTTATTTAGAAAGTTTACAAAGTTAACAGTTGAAAGAAAAAACCTCATCAAGTTTCCCTACCCAAAAGTTATATTGTTAATACAGAGACTTTTCCCACCAGGGTTCTTTCGTGCAAAGTTCTTTTTTTTTTTTTTCTATTGCATATTTTAGAGATGTGTTGTTAACTTGGGGCTTTTCCTTCCAGGTTCTATGTATAATTTTATTTTAAACATAATTGCTAATATGCTCTCTAGATTATTTTTATCCTGTTTTTTTCCACTGATACAGTACAGTTTTTGTAAATATTATGAATTTTAATATTGTTGCAATAATCTATCAAACAGATGTATCATAATTTGAGTAATCATTTTCTTATTTCTGAACAAATAAGCTGTTTCTAATTTTTTTGTATTAAAAGTGATGTTGCAGTAAATATCTCTATATATAGGAGGAGTGGTGGTTAAAAGCATAGCTTTTAAATTCAGATGACCTGGACTGGAATCCTTACTTCACTGCTGACAAACTGTGTGTTCCTGGGTATTGCTATGTACCTCTCTGACACAGTTTATTATTTTGTAAAACAGGAAAAATAGTCATATGTCATAGACTTGGGGTGTGGTCATTAAGTAGTAATGCATTTGAAACACTTAGCAAAGTACCTGGCACATAGTCAGCTATTATTATCATATATGAAGTTTTTACTATATTTAAAATTATTAGGTTCCAAGAGGTAGAATTACTGAGTCAACAATGATGACCATTTAAAAAAAACTTTTGTTTTCTGAAAAAAGTTGTATCAATTTGTACCTATGAAGAATTATGTGACTTGTTACTGTGCCTAATTATAAATATTTTTAAGTCAATTTTTTAATTTAGAAAGAAAAATTTAATGACAGAAAGATAAGGTCACTGGGTTTGTGTGTGTGTGTGTGTTTTGGTTTTTTTTTTTTTGCATTATTGTTTAAATGTATAAATTCTGTGGTTACTAATTTTGAACATATGTTTGCAGTTTTTTCTTTTATAAATTGGTAACACTTTGCTTCCTCTTACCATTATTGAATTATATGCATCATTTCCAAATTTGCATTTAATTTTCTAGTAAATGTACTATCACTTCTCTTTGTCTAACATACAGCAAAAATAAAAATTATTATTTAGAAGTATTATCCCTAACAGTTAAAAGATACACTTACTGTAAGTACAGCAGCAATTTTCTTGGCAACAGATGGGGTAATTTGAAAAGCATGAGAAAACTGCCAGCCTTCCAGGTCAAATACAGCCTTGATGCCATTTCGTTGAGTTTCTACCTCCTGTACAATAAGCTCGGATGTGATTAGACTTACACGAAATACATCATAAGCTGTAAAAACTTTTGGGTCCCAGTGTGCTAAAAAAATAAAGCATATCATATCTCAGCACCATGTAAAGAATTAGAAAGATTTTCAAAGGGAAACAAATTATTTTTAGGTTTAAAGGATGAGCAGAAATAAAATCATGTACAAGAATGAATTGAATAATAGATCAAATTTGGGTCCAAGAACGTGTGCCTGCTTCTCCCTCCTTCCTCAAATTCCTAGCAAAGCATGTATTTTTAAGAGTATGGGGAAGAAAAGGATACATGTAGGCTAGATTTGACCTACAGATGAAATCATGACATCACATACACGAGAGGTCTATGGCTAAAGATGGAAATGCCTCTGGTATACTCCAAGCTCAGAGATGATGGAAATGGGAGAAGTGAGAGCCTGGATTATGAGGAGCAAGTAAAGTACCATGGTAACCAAAGAGTTTGCTAAGGGACATGCATGAGAAGCAGACGGGCTGGTTGATCCTCTGCTAGTCCTCAGTGACAAGCAGCACATAGCACAGTCATGTCCCTACAGGCTAGAACAGTAAGCATGGGCTTGGGAAAGAAGAGCCAGGGAAGCACCCAAGTAGCTGTCCACACCCAAGGAAATCAGGGAATACCTGTGCCGAGGAGGAGGTACTGAATTCTTGTCTACACACACACACTCCTCCCCTGCCATCTCTGGGAGAGGCCATGGCATGCAGAAATGACAGTAATGAACAGGCAAGCAGGCAATCTTAAAAATATATATACATCCATTAGAGATTATAATATTAGGGCCAGCCCCATGGCGCACTCGGGAGAGTGCGGTGCACTCGGGAGAGTGCAGCGCTGGGAGGGCAGCGACGCTGCCGCGGGTTCGGATCCTATATAGGGATGGCCAGTGCACTCACTGGCTGAGCGCGGTGCGGGTGACACCAAGCCAAGGGTTGCGATCCCCTTACCAGTCACAAAAAAGACAAAAAAAAAAAAGAAATTATACTATTACACACACACACACACACACAAAGAATAGAAGAACCAAACTCAATAGACAAAGGCACCAAAATGCAAGGAGACAAAAAAGCAAGAGACATTAAAAGAAGCATAGTCATTTCAGCAGGGGGAATAAGATACTGTAGGCTATTATTATAAGAAAAAGGCTATTATTAAAAAGAATCAGTTGAGATCTTAAAAATAAAAAAAAATAATAATTCAACAAAAAAACTCAGTCAATGGGACAAATAGCAGAAAAGATGCAGCCAATAAGTGAATAGCAGTTTGGAAGATCAAGTTAAGGAATTCTCTCAAACTTGGCACAAAAGAGCCAAGAGTTGATATGTATGAATATAAAGCTAAGAAACACATGCAGCTGGATCCAGAAGTTTCAACATCCCACTAATAAGAGTCCTCAAAGGAAATAACAGAGGAGAGAGGAATAGTAAGTCTTCAGACTGAAGGATCCATGGAATGCCTAACAATGAATGGGATGTGGGGGAGGATTCATAACTAAGTAATGGTAAAACTTCAAAAAAATAACCGTTTCTGTCTTGGGTAACTGTGTAGAATGGTGGTACCATTTATTGAGGCAGGAGAAGAGAAGTGTTTGGGGTGGAAAAGATCCTAAGTAAGTTTGGACATGTTAAAATGATGACTGTGAGACATCCAACTGGATACAGCCGGAATAGGGGCTGGTTGTATGAATCTGGATTTCCAAAAAGATGGGGGTGAAGATACAAATCTGGGATGTTGGTGTTTATATGACAATCTGCAACAGAGATTGTCTTAGATCCATACTTTTCTCTGTTATAGTAGAGAGAGAAAGTAGCGTAAAGGAAGGCTGAGACCACTGTTCTCAGGAATTTCAGAATTTAAAGGGTAAGCAGAAAAGATGGTGCCACCTAAGCAGATTAAGAAGCAGCAGCCAGTTAAGTCAGAGAAAAACACCGGGAAAAGTGGCACCAAACAAGCCATGGTAAGAAGATTATTTCAAGAAAGAGGCAGTGGTTCTCTGTTTTGAGAGGTTAAGCAAAATGGGACTTAACATGTCCATTAAATTTGGTGAAAAGAAAGTTACTGACGATTTGTTAAGGTTATTTCAGCAGAGGTGGGAGTGAAACCAGATCAGGCTGGCTGAGCAGGAACTGGGAGAGAATGTGGACATCACTAACTTAAGAAGTTCGGCTGAGAGGAAGAGAGGAGAAATGGCTACAGTGGAGGCTGGAAGGTTTTCTGGAATTGAGGAGTTTTTATTTTGTTTTGAATGGTTGACATTAACAGATTTCAATGTTAATTGCTAGTCTCTGTGCTATGGGTCAAATGTGTCCCCCAAAAGTTCTTGTGTCAGAAAGTTGATCCCCACTGTAACATTGTTAAGAGGGTGGAAAATCTGATTATGATATTTGAAAGGTAGGGCCTTTGAGAGGTGATTGTATCGTGACAACTGTGCCCTCATGAATGGATTGATCCATTCATGGAGTAATGAGTTATCATGGGTGTGGACTGGTGGCTTGATAAGGAGCACAGGAGAGAGTCCTGCCATTCTCTCCCCATGTGATACACTGCATCGCCACAGCACCCAGTAGGGAGTTCCCACCAGAAGCAGCCCCTCACCAGATGCGACCCCTGGACTATAGACTTCCCAGTCTCCAAAACTGTAAGAAATAATTTCATTTCTTTAAAAATTATACAGTTTCAGGTATTCTGCTATAAGCAACAGAAATAGACTAAAACAATCTGGTAGCAAGGAAAAAATTGAAGATGTAGAAAGAGAAAGGATAATCAGGTGAATTCCTAGGAAGGCAAAATGGGATATCCCTTGCTTTTTAAAAGCCTCAGATTCCTGGTAAGAATCTGAATAATCAACACACGGATAACCCAACTCAAAAATACTATACTACCCAGACATTGGCTGAATGCTACACTGATGAAAAATATGAGCAAAACAAAGGAAGTTTTAAATCAGAAAATAGTTCTGAACTAAATTTCTGAGCCAGCAAACATAATTGTCTGCCCTGTGCTGTCCGATAGAGTAGCCATTAGCCACGTGTAGGTATTCTAATTTAAATTAAATATTACGTTTCTCAGTTACAGTAGCCACATTTCAAATGCTTAATACCCACATGTGACTAGTGGCTACTATAGAACAGTTTTGTCATCACAGGAAGTTCTTTTGGAGAGCCGGCTAGACTTTAAGCTCCCTTAAGGCAAAAGAAAAACATACCTTAAATTTTTAATTCCATTTCCAGCAACTACCTACCATTTATTGAGTGCTTACTGTGTAGCAAGTAATGCTCTGTTATATTTTTTATACATGGATACATAATATACAATATATACACATAATATACACATATGTGTATATACATATATATATACATAATATACATATACGTGTATATACAAATATATACAGATATATGTATTATCTTTTAATTCAATTTGTCCATAAACTTTTTGAAGTACCCTTGTGTAGTGTGTGTATATATGTATGTGTATATATATGTATGTATATATGTATATATGTGTATATATAGAGAGAGCTGACTCTTGAATAACATAGGTTTGAACTGCTTATAAGTGAATTTTTTTAATAAATACTGTAAATTTATTTTCTCTTCCTCATGATTTTCTCAGTAACATTTTCTTTTCTCTAGCTTAATTTATTGTAAGAATACAGTACATAAACATATAACATATAAAATATATGTGTTAGTCAACTGTATACGTTATTGGTAAGCCTTCCAGTCAACAGTAGGCTATTAGTAATTAAGTATTTGGAGAGTCAAAAGCTATACTTAGATTTTTTTTTTTTTTGTCTTTTTATCTTTTTTCCGTGTCCGGCAACGGATCGCAACCCTCAG